TTTTCAAACAGGGTAACAGCGTAAGGTAGCTCAAACTACTTGACAGTGTCCTTTTAAGTCAATTATCCGTCTCTAAATGGACTCTTCCTTATGTTTGTATTTATAAATAAATACCAATAAAGACCATTTTCCAAGCCTTGTCTTACTAGAGGAACATCCTTACAAAGCAGAAAAGCCTGCGTGCAGTGGCAGCTTGCCCTCAGATCTGCAGCGAGCTGAGGGGTGGAACTGGAGCCCAGCTTTGAGGGAACAGCTCTCACTGTTCTGAAAGGTCTGCGTTTTGTTCTCAGCTCTTCTCTGCCATCTCCCCCCTGCTTCCCAGCCCCATCTCACAGGGCAGACCCAGCCCAGAGCTGGGGATCCGCAGTTCATCCCCAGTCCGTCCCCAGCTTCAGAAACCCCAGAGAAGAGAACAAACAGGTGGGAGTTATTTCTGGATGTGCTTTATTGAGTCCTTGTGGATGGAAAGCACTCTGTACACAAGGCGCCCACTGTTCACTTCTTGGTCTCTTCTTCCTTGGAGAGGGTCTTGATGATTTCCTCCTTCTTGGCTTGCAGGCGTTCCTCGCGGCGCTTCCGAGCCTCCTTGGTTTTGGACCTGCGAGCCTCAGCCTGGTCACTGCAAGAAGAGTTTGTGAATGCCTGGGGATCGTTGCAGACAGCCAAGAGAAAGCCTTCCCTGCTGGCCCTGCTCTCCTTGCCCCACTGTTCTGCCCTGCCAGCTGCTGAGCCGAGCAGGCCGTGCTCCACGTGCAGCTCCCTGCTCTGCTGGGTGCAGCACAAAGCTGCTCCTGCCCCGCAGCACTGGGAGCCTTGAGAACCAATGACTCACGCCTCTCCTTATCAATCATTTACTATGGCTGCACCACTGGGTCAGTTTATAGCAGGATGAGCAATTCTGCTCTGCCATGCACGCAGCTCTGCCAGGATTACGTACGTCTCTGCTTCCAGCCAGCCCTACCCAGCTTTGTTTTGATTCCAGGGCTCTGGGTAGAGCCACCCCAAATATCTGTGTGCGCTTCCCTAAAAACAACTGCTTCCCCAGCCTGCAAAATGGAAGTGTGACAGTGAGGCAACACTTACGCCAAGAGCTTCTTGCGAGCTTTGTCTGCCTTGAGCTTGTGGATGTGCTCCATCAGGATCCGCTTGTTCTTGAACACGTTACCCTTGACCTTCAGGTACAGGCTGTGGTACCTTAAGGAAGAGAATGGATCGTGAGTGCTGTGACAGCAGCTCACCCCAAAGCTCTGAAGCTGCTGCAGTGGCGCAGAGCAATGGGACTCTTTGTAGAAGTACAGGGGCTGCTCTGTGCTTTCTGGAGAGGATTTGTTCCCATCCCCAAGCTCTACACCAAGGAGCTGGCTGGGAAGCTGCACACAGCAAGAGACAGATGAGCACATGCACACATTGCCCACTGCCTGGCAGACTCACATATGGCGGTCGATCTTCTTGGACTCCCTGTATCTGCGGAGCAGGCGCCTGAGAATTCGCATCCTCCTCATCCAGGTCACCTTCTCTGGCATACGAGCGTTGGCTGTACCCTTTCTCTTACCTAGGATGAGAGAAAACATGGTAAGAAGGCAGCTTGGCTTCTGCTCACGTTCGATCCTTCTCGGATTGTTCCTACTTCAGGAACAGAATGATTGGAACTCTGGCACACATCTCCGTCCAGCACAAGGCTGTGGGTGCACAGCACGCAGGCGCTGCCTTCAGCGCTCACCGATGCCCATGTGCCTGCCCTTCCGACGGGCCAAGGTGTTCTTCCTGCATCGTGCCCGAGAGTGAACGGTCACAGGTTTGCGGATGATCAGACCATCCTTAATTAACTTCCTGATCTGCTGACCTGGAAGAAAAAAGCAAAACATACTCAGTATTTCATGTGAACGAGCAAAGAGAGACCGCGTTAAGCCAAGTGCGGGCTGTAACCTGGTTTGTGTAAGAAGGAAAACCCCCAGCCCCCCTCCTGCTGCTGCTGCTCTTTCCCCATCATCCCATATTTTCCTTACTAGTCACCCAGGAAAGCACCACACACTGACCCACATTGACCCACATGGCGATGGCATGGAGAACCCCAGAAGCGCTGGAGATGAACTCCAATCAGCTCCAAAACACAACGAACCACAGAATTAAAGGGGTCGGAGAGGACCTCCAGAAATCATCGAGTCCAACCCCTGCAAAGCAGCCCCATAACAGCACCGGTGGGTCTGCAATACCTCCAGAGGAGCAGAACCCACAGCGTCCCTGGGCAGCCGTCAAACAGCAGCTGCACCTCAGCCAACAACGATGCAAAACAAGCACAGAATCCCCTCCTCGCGGCCCCGTCCGCGCACACTCACGCGAGTTGGCGTTGGCGATCTCGTTGGTCTCGTTGGGATCCAGCCACACCTTCTTCTTCCCGCAGCACAGCACGCTGGAGGCCAGGCGCTTCTGCAGCCGTAGCATACTGCGGGCAGCGGGCGGGAGGCTCAGCGCAGCCCCGGCTCGGCCCCGCGTTGCCTCCCGTTGCGATGCAGCCGCCCCATTTCCCGTCCCCCGCCGCCATTTCGCCCCCCTTCCTCCTCCTCCTCCTCCTTCTCACCGCCATTTTCCCCCTTATCCCCGCGACGTGCGAAAGATGGGGCAGCACCGGGCGCACCCCGCACCTTGAGGCCGCCGAGCCCCGGCCCGTTCCCGCCCCCGTCCCCTCTCGCCGTTCCCGGCGGCGCACATCGCTCACCTCATGGCGGCGGCTGCGGCCGAGCCGGGCGGAAAGGACTGCGCACGTGGCCGCGCCCACCGCCAGCGCCGCGGGGAGAGGAACGTACCACTGCCCTACCGCCCCGAGCCAACGCGGTTCCGCAGCCTCACGGCGGATCGAAACGCGCCGAGAGAAACGCCGAGCTCCGGTCACGGGTGGGGATGGGGAAGGGAGCGCCGAGGCCGCGCTCGAGGCGTTGGGGAGGCGGACGCGCGTCACCCCGCACCCCCCCCCTCTGAGCTGAGTGGTACGGTCTGAACTGCGCATGTGCGGTGAGCCAGGCAGGGACGGCTGAGCGCATGCGCAGTGGGAATGGCCTGGGCGCATGCGCAGTGGCACGGCGTGGGCAGCACGAATGCGGAGTGGGCATGGCGGCTGCGGGGGGGCGGTGTCTGCATGAGGGGGGGAGGGGGTCTGGTGCGGGGCTGCGGCTGCGGGGCGGTGGCGGCGTTAGAAGGCTCGGGGGTCCCCTGAGGGCGGGGCGATATGAGGCCTGCTCTGATGCGAGACCCGTGGGAGGCCTGGGGTCACCGCGAGCCTGCGGCCAATGCGAGGCCTGGGGTCACCGTAAGGCCTGGCGTGGCTGCGAGGCCCGCGGACGGCCGGGCACCGGCTGCGTGCTGTGAGGAGCCGCCCAGCGCCGGGCGGCGCGTCCCCCTGCGGCCTCAAACACCCGAGGAGAGGCCTCCTGTTTCAGGGCTCCCCCGGCAGCGCGCTGCGCCTCCCTGCTTGGCTGCAGTTCCGCCCGGCGCAATCCTGCCTTACGCCAAACCCGCCCTCCTGCTGCAGCCCCTTCCCTCGCGGCTGCCGTTCCGCGCTCAGTCTGCGCTGCTGCCACGCGTGGCTCTGGCGGCCGAATGCAGGCGGCATATGGTGTGTGACAGGGAGCTGGTGGCGGCAGATTTTGGGTTCGTTTTGAGAGACAAACACGGATAAACACAGGCTTTTGCTGTTTAAAAACTGACTCATCATTTTCCGACAACAAAACCGTCAAAATCTGGAGGCTCCTGAGGCAGGAGAGCGGCTGCTGTTTCTTTACCTGCCCTGGAGCGGCGCCGGGATTTTGTCCATCTGTGCTTCTGTGAAGCCTGCAGCTGCAAATCAGTGCCCTGTAACGCTTTGGGGCCCTCGTTTGGGGTGGAGATGGTGAGGAGGCTTCAACCCCCATGGATCGTGTATCTCTGTAGAGCCTACACCTCTATGGATCCCATACCAACGGAGCCTATGCCTCTGTCACTCCCACCTCCCACCTGGGGGTGCATCCCTGAGCCCCACACAGCATCGTGGCTCTGAGGGCTCAGCTCTCACCCCACGCTTGGACCATTGCAGCACAGTGCTGGGGCCAGGCAGCTCCCGTTCCCATCTTCCCTCGCTGCAGCTCCAGCAGTGACACCGCGTTTGCATTTTGCTCCCACGCAGCTCTGGGATGAACGCAGCACTCATCCTCTGCCCCCACCACCTCCACGCCGTCCCCAGCACAGCCACCTCCAGCTCTCAGCTGATCCATTTCCCCCCCCCCACCAGGCGCTTCACCCCCGGCTCGAGGGGCTGCAGATGGGCCCCTGTTTGCGTTCAGGGCTGTGCCACCCATCCGGCTGCACAGGTGCCGTCGTCGGCACCTTACGGTGATGGATGGGGGTCTAAGAATGGAAAACGTGGCGTCAGCTGTTCCGGGCGCATTGTCTGGGAGCGCAGAGGGTGGGGGGCACCCCCAGGAATTCGGAACTTTCCAACAGCTGGTGGCTGCTGTGTGATCAGAAGGGGAGGTGTGGGAGCCACAGGGGGGACCCCACAGCGGGTGGGCTCTGGGAGGGGGGGGGGGGGGGCATGGATGGTTCAGCAGCCCCCCCACCCCCCTCTCCAGGGATGGTTTGGAAGCCGGGTTTGGCCCCAGACTTTGGGGAAGGAGCTGTGCCCCCCCCCGTCCCCCCCCCCGTGTTGTTTTTATTTTAGGGGAGCTCCCCGCAGCGAGGTGCGGGCTGTGTGCCGATCATTGCTGCCCCCCCTCCCACTGTATTTATATTTATATATATATAAGTTATTTATTTTGGGGGTGGAGGCAGAAATCCTTCATCTCTCCCCCTCTTGGGGACCGCTTTGGGGGTGCCCTCTCCTAAAGGAGGGAGGGAAGGAAGGAAAGAAGGAGGGGAGTGAAGGGGAGGGAAGCAAAGCATCCCGCATCCCTCCCGGCGGCGCGGTGGGAGCGGCCGGGGCGGAGGCAGCGGCCGCCCCCCCCCCTCCTTCCTCCTCCTCCTCCTCCTCCTCCCCCTCCTCCCCTCTCCGCACGCCGGGGCCGCCCGCCCGTCGCCGCGGGGGTCGGTGCGGCGGAGGCCGATCTCGGGCCCCGCGCTGCCCCGAAAGCTCCATGGTGCGGGAGGGGGGCATGGCGCGCCCGCCCTACAGCTCAGCTCAGGACATCCAGATGGACGTCTTCGACAACGCAGCGCTCCAGGTGACACCACCGGGGGGGTGGGGGGGTGGAGAAGGGGTCAGTGAAAGCCCTGGGGGGAGGGGGCTGCATGGACCCCCCCCCCTCCATCCCCTCCCCACGTCCTACCAGTAAAGGTTCCACCTCCTGTAGCTCGGTTCCCCCCCACACCCCGTAGCCACGCTGCTCCCCCAAATCAAAGCAGACAGCGAGAAGTGGGGGCGCAGCCCCCAAGTTTGGAGGGGGGGGGGGAAGCGCGCCCCTTTACTGCATCACCTCCCCACGGCTGTGTCCCCCCCCCCCCCGCAGCACCCTGAGTCCAGGGGTGGGCGCACAGCGCAGGGGGGGCACAGGGAAACTTTTGGGGATGGGGCAAACTGTGCAGAGTCAGTGTGCAGTGGGAACCCCCCCCAAAAAAAGAATCTCCATCTGCTGGGTGTGGGGTGGGGGGATGCGTCCTCTGGGGTGGGGGCATCTCGTGTCCCCCCCCGTGGTTGGTGGTGACAGCATGGGTGGGGGCACAGCCAGGCCCTGGGGGTGGCGGGGGGCAGTGAAGGCTTTGCCCATCACTGTGGGGGGGTTCCGTGGTGCTGCCCCACCCGGGGGCCTTCATCTCCTCCAGCACAGAGGGATGGAGGTGGGGGGGGGGGGGGGCAAGGACCTAAAAATACCGGGTACCACCGGTGGCAGCTGGGCCCAGCTGTCCTTTCTGGGGGGGTCACAGCCCAGCCACTCACACCCAGCACCCCCCGCCCCCCCGGTTTGCTCCAGTGTTTCCTCCCCCACCGTATCCCACAGCCCTTATGGGGGCACTGTCAGCCCCCTTGGGTGCAGTGTGTGGGGGGGGGGCTCATTCTTGCTGAGGGAGCTTGTATGTGCGTGGGGCTGGAGCATGTGACAGCGAGGGGGTGGCATGGGGAAGATGGGGGGGGGTGGCTGCTGCTGCTGCTGCTGCTGTGGGCCTGGCCCCCCCCAGAGCATCCTGCTCCCCCACCCAGGTGCGTGGGGGTCTGGGGGTGCTGGGCGGTGGCTGCAGGAGGGGTGGATCTCAGCAGCTCCCAGTGCTCAGTTCTGATGCTGCTGGGGATGGTGGGGGGGGGTGATGCCTGTAATTCCCTCCCTGCCCCCCCCAACCTGTCACCCCTCTCCGCAGGGCAAATACAGCAAGCGCAAGAGCCGCTTCAAGCGCTCTGATGGCAGCACCTCATCTGACACCACCTCCAACAGCTTCGTCCGGCAGGTGAGGATGGGGCTCGGCGAGGGGGGGCACGGACCCCCCGTCTGGCTCCTCCCCACCCCCCGGAGCAGCTATCTGCTGAGGCTGAATGGGGACAGCCTCTTTGGTGGCCTTTGACCCCCAGGGAGCCATGTGGGGGGGTCCTGGTTTGCAGCTGAGTGTTAGGGGAGTAGTGGACCCAGCTGTTGCAATATCTGAGCCACATCCATCTGTGCCCCCCCAAATCGAAGCAGAGACCAGGGGTCACCAGCCAAGGCTGCGCCTGCTGTCCCTCCTCTCTCCTGCACAAGAGTGGGGCTGGGGGGGGGGCGTCCACCCCCTCATATCAGTAACCTTTGGGGTGCTGGGGGCATCTCCTGCCCCTTTGGATGCTGGGCGGGGGGGGGAAGGGGGGCACGCAGCCCACCTGGCATCACCCCCGCCCTCTCCAGCCCCATCCACCCACCGCTGGCTTGGCACTGTCCCCCCCCCCCCCCCCCCGCCCCAGGCTAAATATACCCCAGCAGGCTGTGGGTGTCTGAAACCCGACCCGCGGGCGCCCCAGCACGCAACGCCCGGCCCCCCCTCCCCCCCCGGCCCACTTGCCCCCAGCCCTGCCACCATGGAGATGACCGGCAAAGACCACCTCGCCGCCCCGGTGAGCATCCCACCCCCCCCCCCCCCCCCCCACTGCTGCCTCCCCTTTCTGCCCTTCCTCCCTGTCCCAAGGTTTGGGGTCCCCTTTGACCTAGAGGGGCTGCAGGGTGAGCACCCCAAAGCAGCCCCTCCACCCCGGTGTGCCCACTGCTGCCCCACAGTCCCCGCTCCTCTGCCCCCCCCCCTCGACCCCAGGCTGTGACGTTCCTGTGAGAAATGGCTCAGAGAGGGGCTGACTGATTGCTGCCCCTGTGGATTTTTTGGGGGGGGGAGGGTTTCCTGGAGGGCTGCTGCCCCATGGACGGTGGTAATGGCTGTGCAAAGGTGTTTGGGAAGGGGCTGCCCTGCTCTGTGGGAAGGGTGGGGGCTGCCTCAATGTGGGGGTTACAGAGGAGCCGGGTGGGGAGCAGCACCCTGCAGGGTTGGTGCCTCTGCTGTTCCTATGGGGGTCACAGCCCTGGGGGTCTCCTCACCACCCCCTCTGTGGCTCTAACTGCAGCACGGGGTGAAGTGAGGGGCCGTGGGGTGTGAGCAGAGGCCCCAGCTGCAGCCTTGTCCTGGGGTGACCCCCAGCCCCCCGTTGCCGTGCAGCCCCATTGCTGCAGGACCCCTGGGCGGCTGGAGCAGAGCTGTCACTATTGCACTTCCCCCAGCTTGGTGCTGAGCGGGGGGACGGCCGGGGCGCTGCCGGCTCTGGGGGGGTCCTCATCTCCCTCAGTTTAACGAGAGGCCTGGAGCCGGCTGACAGCAGGACGGCAGCGGGGTGTCACGTTCCGTGCCGGAGCAATGGGAACAGCTGTGCCGGCGCTCGGCCTGCCGTAACCCCGGCACGGCCCCCCTGGCTCAGGGGAAACTGAGGCACAGGCTGGGGGCAACGCATGGGGTCCTCTGGGAACTCAGCCATAGGGCTGTCCTTTGGGTGGGCACCACCGTGCGGGATTTTGGGGATGCCTCTGTGCTGCGGGGATGGCTGCCTGCCGGGGCTGGGGCTGCTCAGCGTGGGGCTGGGGCTGAGCATCCTCCCCACCGTCGCAGGGCTCAGCTGAGTCCTACACCAGCCGCCCCTCGGACTCGGATGTGTCCCTGGAGGAGGACCGCGAGGCGCTGCGCAAAGAGGCTGAGCGCCAGGCGCTGGCACAGCTGGAGAAAGCCAAGGTGGGATTAGGGGGAATTGGGACCCTCGTCACTGGGAGCCTTCCGTGGGGCATTGGCTCTCGCTGTGGGGTTGGAGGGGGGATGCTGCCCCCCACTCATCCCTTCCCATCTGCAGACGAAGCCGGTGGCGTTTGCTGTCCGGACAAATGTTGGCTACAACCCATCGGCCAATGATGATGTGCCTGTGCAGGGCATGGCCATCTGCTTCGAGCCCAAAGACTTCTTACACATCAAGGAGGTGAGGGTCTGGAGTTGTGGAGGGGAGCAGAGCAGGAGGGGAGGGCGCGAGTGGCAGGGCCTTGGGGATGGGGGTCGGCAGGGCACGGGGCTGAGGGTGGCAGCGTGTGGGACTGCTGTGCGCCGTCCATTTGCAGGCTTTGAGGTGTTTTCTGTGTTCATCCCCCGGTGCAGAAGTACAACAATGACTGGTGGATTGGGCGGCTGGTGAAGGAAGGCTGCGAGGTCGGCTTCATCCCCAGCCCTGTCAAACTGGAGAACATGCGGCTGCTGCAGGAGCAGAAGATGAGGCAGAACCGACTGAGCTCCAGGTTCTTCCTACCCTCTCCAGCCCCTGGAACCTTCACACAGCCCCATGCTTACCCCTCTCTGCTTCTTCTTTCCCAGCAAATCAGGTGACAACTCCAGCTCCAGCCTTGGTGACGTGGTGACGGGGACACGCAGGCCCACCCCTCCGGCCAGTGGTAAGGATGTCTGGGTTCCCCATGGGGAGCAGGGCCGGCCCAGCCTATGGAGGGGGGCCTTGTCCTGCTGGGGACTGGACGCCCCTCCCAATGCCCCTCCTGCAGCTGGGTCCTCCCCTCTACCTTCCCAGCACCGGGAGGGACATGCAGCCCCCTTGGTCCCCTTGTGGGACCAAAGTAGCAGCCCCACATTGCACACTCATGCTTACATCCAAATCAGAGTGCACGGGGTGCCCTCCCAGCCCTGGGTCCCTGCACTCTTCGCCCCCCCTGCTCCCATCCATTCCCCCCTTTCACCACCGTTATCACTGTTCTTCTCTCCCCTCCGGCCCCGGCGCGTCCCCAGGTGCCCTGGACACACATAGCTTTGCCTTTGAGCCCGATGAGTTAGAGGAGGAGGAGGCTGCGGAGACCCACTGCTCCCCTAAGAGTAGTGTGAGCAGTGTCACCACCCCCCCCGCCCACTCCAAGCGCATCCCCTTCTTTAGGAAGGTAACAGAGCCCAATCTGGCCCACGCCTGCCTGCTGCACCCTGCCTGCCCTAACACTGCCGGGGGCTGCGGGGGCACCGTGGGGTGGATCGGTCCATAGCTGCTCCCCCCTGTGATCCAGAGGATGGATCATTCCATGGATGTATCCCTCTGTCATCCATGGGATGGATCGTTCCGTTGGCTGTATCCCCCCCATGGTCTGTGGATGGATCGTTCCGTGGCTGCATCCCCCCGCGGTCCATGGGGTGGCTCAGTCCATGGCTGTGTGCCCCCTGATCCATGGGATGGATCGGCCCCTCTCCCCCCCCCCCCCCCCAGGGCCCCCTGTGTGCGCATGGTGTGTGGCACAGCTGTGTTTGTCTCCCCCGCAAATGAGAGTGGAACATTCCTCCCCCCCCCAAACTGGGCACGGTGCTGGGGGGCTCGGGTGCAACCACGGCGTGGGTAGGGGGGTGCTGAGGTGCTGTTCCCCACCCAAAGCCTCGCGGAGCCCCTGCTCACACCCCAACGCTAATCAAGAGTAGGGCAGCATTCATACAGAATGAGCTCCACCGGCACAATCTCCCTTTGCTATTGGAGCTGTGCCCCCCCTGGGCTTCCTGTTAACCCCCCAGCCCAGTTTGGGGCCTGAATCCCCCTCCCACAGTAACACGCATGCCTTGTTTGTCTCCCCCTGCCCGCCCCGGCGCCTCGGGACGTAGCGAAGCAGAAGCAGAAATCGGTGAGTAGCGTCAGGACCCCTGGGTTTGGGGCAGGGGAGGAGGGGGGAATAGGTTTTGCTGCCATTTCTGGGGCCTCCCCGTCCCTTGGCATCACCCTGGGCTCCTGCTGTGCCCCCCGGCCCAGCGTGAGCCCCCTGACCCCCGATGCTGCCCTGCAGGCTGAGCACGTGCCGCCCTACGATGTGGTTCCCTCCATGCGGCCCATCATTCTGGTGGGGCCATCATTGAAGGGCTACGAGGTGAGGAGCGGGGCTGGGAGGGGACCCCAGGGTGGGGGGGGCACACAGAAGACCCCATGCCCTCCTCCTCCCCTCCCGCAGGTGACAGATATGATGCAGAAAGCACTGTTTGATTTCTTGAAGCATCGCTTTGATGGCAGGTGAGGCAGGGGGCGGCGGGGCCTTGCGCCCCTTGGCGAGGGGCACTCAACCCCTTGGGGGGCCCTTAAGCCACGGAGGAACCCTCAAGCACGTGGGAGGCCTTTAATCTCACAAGAGGGCCCCTTACCCCACAGGGGACCTCTAAGTCCCACGAAGGACTCTTAGCTCTATGGAGACGCCCTGGTTTGAGTGGGATCTGCCCTCAAGGAGAAAGAGGCTCCACTTCAGCCTGATGCTTTTGGGGTGGGAGGAGGGGAGCAGGTGTTTGATGGGGGGTGTTTGGAGCCCCGCCAGCCTGTGTCCTTCTCGCAGGATCTCCATCACGCGGGTGACGGCCGACATCTCCCTCGCCAAGCGCTCTGTGCTGAACAACCCCAGCAAACACACCATCATCGAGCGCTCCAGCACACGCTCCAGCCTGGGTAAGGCGGGTGCAGCGCCTCGGCCACCCCAAGCTCCCATCTGTATCAGCCCAGCAGCCTCCTGCTCCTGTCCCCTCCCTCCTGGGATGCTCAGCGTGTCCCTCCTTCCTGCACAGCCCCATCCGCTCTGTGGGGCGATGAGTGCATGGGACGAAGGGCACCTGGGACCCGTGCTCCCACTGTCGGTTTGACTCAGTCTCTCTTCCCCTCCTCCCTTTTACCTTCTCTCTCTCTCTCTCTTTTTTTTTATTATTTTTTTCTTCTTTTTTTTCTCCTTTCCCATTTGGGGTTCCTTCCCTCTGCACCGCTTCCTTCCTCCCCTGCTCCTGATACAGATATCTTGGGTATGTAGCCTGTTCTCCTCGGGTAGCGCGGGGTGGGAGACAGCAGGGGATGCAGCCCCAAGGTTCCCTGTGCCCCCAACTGTGCTCGACTGCGGGGTCTGAGTGCAGCCTCTGCAGGCACCCACCCAATGCATGTGTCTGGGGGTCTCAGCCCTTCCTCCCCCAGCACTGGGAGCCCAGTGCCTCCCATCCGTGGTTCTGGGGTGCTGCTGGTGTGGCTGAGCCTCTTCTGGCCCCATCCCGCTCCCCACGTCCCATTTCCAGCAGCCGTCCCTGCAGCCCCCCTTTGCTGTCTCCGTGCCCTTGTGACTCCCTCTGTCCCCCCACTCTGGCAGCTGAGGTGCAGAGTGAGACGGAGCGCATCTTTGAGCTGGCCCGGACCCTGCAGCTGGTGGCCTTGGATGCTGACACCATCAACCACCCGGCCCAGCTGGCCAAGACCTCCCTGGCACCCATCATCGTCTACATCAAAATCGCCTCCCCAAAGGTGAGTGGGGGCCGTGGGGCGGGCAGGTGGCAGCGATGGGGCCGAGGTTCTTGTGCCCCCCACCCCACACCGCCCTCTCTCCTGCTCCAGGTGCTGCAGCGGTTGGTGAAGTCTCGGGGCAAGTCCCAGGCCAAGCACCTCAACGTGCAGATGGTGGCCTCCGACAAGCTGGCGCAGTGCCCGCCTGTGAGTGTCCCCAGCCCAACCCCTGCCACCACCCTGAGGCCTTTGGCTCCGCCCCTTCCGGCAGAAGCCCCTCCCACCACCGCCTCCTTGCATAGATTCCACCTGTCCTGACCCCAGGCTCTGCCCACCACCATATTAGGTGATGTAGGCTCCTCCCACCGAGTGATGGAGGCTCCGCCCACCAGCATATTGGGTTAGGTAGGCTCCTCCCACCGAGTGATGGAGGCTCCGCCCACCACCATATTGAGTTAGGTAGGCTCCTCCCACCGAATGATAGGGGCTCCGCCCACCACCATATTTGGTTACATCGGCTCCACCCCCGCGTGTCATAGCCTCTGCCCAGCACCTTATTTGGGTACGCCGACCCCACCCATTACCTTATATGGATACACAGGATGCGCCTCTGCATGCTGCAGACTCCGCCCACCACCTTATTTGGTACACATGCCCCACCCACAACCTTATATGGGTATGAGGGCTCCTCCCCACATGCCATAGGCTCTGTCCACTACCCTATATGGGCACATAGGTCCCAGCCCCATGTGTGCAAGCTCCGCCCTTCTCCTTATTTGCATCCATAGGCTCCACCCCCCACCCCATTAACGCCAGCAGTCCGCCCTCCCGCCATCCTGGCCCCTGGGCTCCGTGTCCATAAGCTCCACCCCACCGCAGTTTCCTCCCCCCAGGAGATGTTTGACATCGTGCTGGACGAGAACCAGCTGGAGGAGGCCTGCGAGCACCTGGCCGAGTACCTGGAGGCCTACTGGAAGGCGACGCACCCCCCCAGCAGCAACCCCCCCAACCCGCTGCTCAACCGCACCATGGCCACGGCCGCTCTGGCCGCCAGCCCCGCGCCCGTCTCCAACCTGCAGGTACAGGTGCTCACCTCCCTGCGCAGGAACCTGGGCTTCTGGGGCCGCGGGGGCGCCGACGCCACCCCCAGCCCCCAGGAGGAGCACGCGCTGTGAGATGGCGGCGGGGCGCCCGTGGGACCTCCCCCCGGGGATCGGGGACACCCCCAAGGATCAGGGACAGCCTTGGGTTCTGGGGACGCCCCGGGGAACAGCCGCCTCCCTGGGGTTGCCCCCTCCTCTGGGGATGCGCTCCCTGCTCCGTGGTTGATGCCATCCCCGTGCCCCTGAAGTCAATCCCCCCCCCTCCACCCCAGGATCTGCTCCCCACCCCGGGTTTGGGGCCATCCCGCTGCGGTGAGGTTCTGCTCTCCCTGGATCAGGGCCCCCCTTTGGGATCTGCCCCCTGGGGTTGGGGTCTCTCAGCCCTGCAGAGCTCTCCTGGGTTACAACGAGGACTTATGGGAGTTCCTGGGGGGGGGCTGAGCCCCCCGGACACCCCTGACCCCCCTGGGTCCAGCAGTAGAGGCTGTGTCCAAGCCGAGGGGGGCCCACAGCCCTCCCAGGGCATCAGGCAGAGGAAGGACGCTTGTCCTGTGTTGTCTGTCGCTAATTCCTTCAGCAATCAGGGCGCTGCTCTGCACCAACCCTGACCCCACCGCCTCCCTGCTCCGTTCCCCTCCATGCCCTCCCACTGCTCTGGACCTGCCCTGGTGCCCCCCCACCTCCCCTCCCCGCCCCGGTGCTGGATGAGACCCACATCTGGACTGCATGGCACGAAGTGTGCAGGCTGGGCTGGGGCGGGAGCGCATGCGCCCCCCCTACTCACCAGGCCCCGCGGTGTGCAGCTAACACCCCTCCCCCCCCCCCAACTAACCCGTCCATCTGTCCTTGCACGGTGTGGTTGCTTCTCCCAACCAGGCTCCATACCTGGTGCACGGGGAGCCGCCGGGCGAGGGGAACGTCCGGGAGGGGGGGCCCATCCCACCGCCTGCCCGCTCGGCCCCCCCCCCGCCGCCTGTCCCGCCAGGACACCTTCGACTCGGAGACCCCCGGCAGCCGGGATTCAGCCTGCACAGAACCCGGCAACTCTTGCATGGACGTCGAGACCGATCCCGGTGAGGAGGACCCCCGGCCCCCCCCGGGTCCCCGCGGTGCGTGGGATGAGGAGCGGGGCCGGGGACCACGGGGACGTGCCAAGGGCCACGACCGCTACTGCCCAGAGCCGCCGGAGCCTTTGGGTCTGGACCAGAGTGACACAGAGGGCTGGGGACAGGAGGTTTACATCCGCTAGGGTGAGGGGGGGTGTAGGCAGGGATGGCCCCCCCCCAACCCTCCTTTTCCCCAGCCCCAGTGCTGGCTTTGGGGCCAGGGGTTGCACTCAGCTGGGTGTCTTTGTAGGCCACGTGCCCAAAGCCTGTTCAGCTGTGCCATGGGGTGTCCCCCACCCCACTCTTGGTGTTAAGGGGGGGGCCTCCCTCCCACCGCAGCCCTCCCAGCATCCTGCGGTGCCTCGGGCCTTTTCTGTCCCACAGGGAGAGCGAGTGACCAAAGGGGACGTGCCAGTGGCTGGCGTATCCCCATCCCCTATGGCACAGGGAGGGGGGCTTGCGCTCTCCCCAATACCCAGCCCTTGCCTGCTGCCTGCAGCCCCCTCCCCAGGGTGCACCCGCTTCTCCATGGTGCTTTTTACCACCCTGCTGCAGGGGGACCCCTGAGCTGGTGGTGGAGGGGTTCCCTGCCAGCTGTCCCCTCCCCAGCTAGTGCCTGCCCCACAGCTGTGGGAGGGGTGCATGCGTGTGCTGTGTGTGCAGGGTTTTGGGGTGCCCACTGGGTGCTGCCTGCCTGGGGAGGGGGGGGGGGCATGGTTTTTGCATGTGTTTGCATTGGAGTGGGGGAGGATTTTGCCTGTTTTTGGTGGTGGGGGGGGAAATCTGAGCCAACTGGGGGGAGGGTGTCTAACATGTGCTAACAGCTGCCCCAGTCCTGGCCTGCCACAGTGCCCAGCAGGTCCCGGGGGGGCCCTGTGCTACCCTCACCCCCCCCCCCCCCCCCTTTCCCTGGGACCATGGGAACACACCGAGCAGCACCAGGCCCTGGCCCCTGCCAAACCCCTCTGTGCCACCCCCTCTCTGTCTGCTCTTTCCCCATCCAGCTGTGTCTGTCCGTCTGTGTGCCTGTCTGTCTGTCCCCCACCCCAGCTCCCCAGGGCACTGCCTTCACCTGTGCCCACCCTGGGGTGTCCCTTATCCCTGTGCCCCCATGAAGGTCGCAGCACTGGGGTGGGAACACCCCATGGCCGACCCTCGCAGTGGGGCTGGGCTCACCTCTCGCCCCCCACCTTGGGGCGATGCTGGGGTGGCCCTGGGGTCGCTGCCTTACCCACACCACCAGCCTTGCCAGCCTGGGCTGGGGGGGGCTCCGGGGTGCTCAGCTCTGCCGCTGCCAAAACGCCTCCACCCGTTGTGTGCCTCAGTTTCCCCTTTTTTGCTGGGGGGAACTCGGTGTCACTGCCTGCCAAGTGCTTTGAGACCCACCTGCCCCGGTGCTTGCCCCCACCGGGGCCAGGCAGCTGGGCCCCCCCCGCCCCAGCCCTCCTAAAGGGCAGGGGGACGTCCCATATTTATGTCATCCCACAAACTTTATTTAAAGACCCTGACAAAGTGTATTTTATTTATTTATTCTCCTTGGTGTGTGGGGGGACTCGCCCCGCTCGCTTGGTTCTTTGTAATAAACATTTCGGTGAGATCTCCCCGCGGCTGCGCCTGGTGGGGGTGCACAAGGAGGGTGGGGGGCTGCCACCAAGCACGGCTCTGCTCTGCAGTGACTGCAGCATCTCCTGGAGGGGGTTGGGAGCAGCCAGGACCTGCCTGGCTTTTGGGGAGGGACGCGTCCTGCAATGGGGCTGTACATGCTATTTACAGGGAATAAATACAGCACTGCTGGCTCAGGGCTGCCGGCACCTCCACTCGCTCTTCTCTGGCCAATACTCAAATGCTTTCCTGCAGGGAGACACGGGGACATCAGTCCCTGCTCTGAGCCCCCCCTCCCCAGGCCGTGGGGCCATCAGTCCCTTCCCCACAGGGCTGCTGAGGGCCCGTACTCACTCTCGTGGTGGAGGCGATGCTCGGCACACCAACCCAGCCTGGCAGGGGCACACCTGGTTGATGCTGAAGGCCAGACCCCCGGGGGGCACATGGCAGCTCTGCCCCAGCTCCAGCCGTTGCTGGCACAGCATCTCGCCGTGCCGCCGCGCACAGCAGCCACCCGGCCCGCAGTCCTCATCCTGCTGGCACCGTGCTCCTTTGTGGGGGGAGGGAACAACAAAGAGAGGGGTTAAATGTTGAAATCCCCCAGCCCCATGCAGGTGCAATGGGCCCAAAGTCGCTCAGCCTCATGCGTGTTGCAGCAGGGGTTGCGATGAGTCCCACTCCCAACCCGACCTCCATCACATCCCTCTGCTCCCGGGGTTGTGGTTATGGGGCTGCCCACCCCCGTCTGCTGCTCACCCTCCTGCCCGTCGGGCACGGGCTGCTGGCACTTCCCAAAGGTGCAGAGGAGGCCGTGGGCGCAGTGGGTGTCACGGCGGCAGTACTGCCCAGCAGGCCGTGTGGGCAGGCACAGCCCGAAGTGTTCGTCACAGAAGTGTCCGTGGGCACAGGGGCTGGTGGGGCCGCACGGCGTCACCTGCATTGGAAGAAGAGCAGTGGGGTCAGGGGGGCCCGGATCCATCCCCACCTCTGGGATGGGTCAGAAATGGGAGGGCAGCACGGGGTGGGATTGGGTTTGGGTTCCGTGTGCCTGTCTGTCCGTCCCCCACCCCAGTTCCCCAGGCAATGGAGCCGGGGCTGTTCAGGATGGGAGCCTCGAGTGTCAGGGGGCTTCAAGGGGCTGCTGGCTCACAGGGACTCATCCCTGGAAGAAGGGCACTGCCGCTCGATGCAGTTTTCTCGCAGGAAAAGAAAACCCCGAGCGTAAGGCCCGCCGCACAGCTGATGGTTGTTTGGGGCCCGGCGTCACTCAGGCAGCCCTCAGGCAGCCCGTAAAATTCCTGCTCCAGGTGAGGCTCGAACTCACAACCTCGGCATTGCTCCGCGTACTGCCCTATAAGTACCGCGCGCTGACCGATTGCGCCACTGGAGCGCCCGCTGCCGCCCGCCGCGCCCGCGCCCCCTCCCGCCCCGACCCCGCATCCCCCCCAGATCCAGCCCCCCTCATCCCTCTCCCCCCCTCCATCCTTCCCGCATCCCTCCATCCTTCCTGCGTTGCTTCTGCGTTTCCCCTTCATCCCTCCCCGCTCACCTCCTCCGCGCTGCCCCCCGGCCCGGCGCTTCTGCCCAGCGCTGCTCTGTCGGGCGGGTGTTGGGGCAGAGCGTACATCCATGCCCAGAGGTGCGCGGCGGCTGCGGGCAGAAGCGCGGCGAGGAGGCAGAGGAGCGCCGGGAACGGCTGCATGGCGCTGACGGCGATGGCACTGAGGGGCTCCCGGTGGGCGCTGCCTATTTGTAGCCCGCGGACCCCGCTGCCCCCCGCTGCTCCGTGTGTTTGCACGCCTAATGGGGAAGGAGGAGGCAATCAGGGTTTAAGGGATTAACGTAATTGCAGCCTTCCCCTCGCCGGGTGCCAAAGCCCCAAAGCAAACCGCCCCCTCGGAGCAGTCTGGCTCCGGCGCCGCGCTGCTCCCCGCGCTCGGTGCAGCCCCCCCAGCGCCCACGGGGGTGACGAGCTTTGCACCTTCCCTAACAGCTCTGCTAACGAGGTGTCCGCTGCCCGGCTCTCATTTCACCAGCAAACACCAGACGGGCTCCGCTGGTGCTGCAGGCAGTGCCGGGCCGTATTGCCGGGATGCCGCGGGCTGCTCTGCCCCCGACCCGCTCCATCGGACTCGTGGACACGTCGGGTCGCCCGTCCTCCTCGTGGTCCCCTTCTCTCTACCCGGGGCCTCAGTTCCCCAAACCCCACACACAACAGACGCTGACGGCTGACGCCATCGGGGTACCCCGAGCCGCTACGCTCACAGCTGATCCCACCTGCAGCTTCGCCCGGGGCTCAGCCGGACCCCCCCCCATCCCGCCCCAGCGTGTTTGCACAGCGGCTCAGGTTGCAAATATTGACCCGTCATCCTCATGTCCGTACTCCCCCATCTGCCCCCCGCTGGCTCCTGTTAATCCCCCCCAACAGTCCCGGGGGGGGAGGAAGGTCCGGCGCCCCCCCGGCCGCGCACGGCTCCACCACGGCTCCGGGATTCGGCTCCGCTTCGCTGCTGCCTCGAAATTGCACCCGCTGCGCTCCCACTGAAAGTTGGGGACGGGTCCCCATCTGCAGTGAGGGCAGCACTGCTGGAGCCGTGCAGAAAAGAGGGCATGCGTGCGTGTGCAAAGGTGTGCAAGGGTGTGCAAGAATGTGCAAGGGTGTGTAAGGATGCGTGCAAACCCGCACCCGCATCGCGCCCTGCCGCCGGCGCAGCGCAGCCCGCGCTCATCCCTGAGCGCCTCAACGCCGTTTCCCAGCAGAGGGGGTATAGCTCAGTGGTAGAGCATTTGACTGCAGATCAAGAGGTCCCCGGTTCAAATCCGGGTGCCCCCTCATTTTCTTTTCTTCTCTCCTTTTTTTTTTTTTTTTTTTTTTTTTTTTTTTTTTTTATGTGAGGATTTCTTCTTTTTTGGACCTCTTTTATCTCCCTTCTTCCCCCCCCCATCAGCAGTAGTTGAGCGGTGGTCGCGCAGTGCCCGCTCTCATCCCGCTGTCCCTGCACAGAAATGCCTCCGGGAGAGGGCAGCTGGCACCGGGACGGGCGGCACGCGTTCGACTCATCAGTTAATTGCAGCATCGGTGCCGTTCATCACCTTCATGAGTCTCACCACGGCGGTGGGGATGAGATGCGGGGCTCTGCCGCTGCCCCCGCCCCTCGGCCAGGACCCCAAAGCCGCCCCCGGAGGGTCTCAGGCTGTGGGTTGCGCGTTTTTGGGGTGAAGACCCGCTGCTCTTCCCGGGGGTCCGGGCTGCACCGCACAGCCGTGCCGGCCCGGGGGGGTCTGCGGGAGCCCGGGGCTGCGGTGAGCAGCCTTGGAGCAACGGGATGCCGGTGAGGAGGAACCGCCCGTGGGGCGAAGGGTGACTGCGGGCGGGATGAGGGATCGCTGCACGTGAGATGAGAGGATGCCGTTCGAGGGATGAGGGCACAGCGCCGGCAGAACCGGGCCCAGCACCCCCCGGCTCGGGCTCTGCCTCCGGCCCCATCCCCACCCCCGGCACCACCCCTCGGCTCCACCCCCGGCTCCGCTCCAGCTCCGGTGGCGGAGCCCCGTGCCCGGCGGGGGCTCGGCGGGTGCCGGCCGCGGGGGGGACCGCGATGCGCGGTGGGGGTCTCATCCTGCTCGGCCTCATCGCGCTGTGCGGGCGGCGCGGTGCGCGGGGCGCAGGTAGGGGCTGGCGCGGGGGGGGCGGGGGGTGAGGTCGGGGGTTGCGGGAACCGGGGGGCTGCGTGGCCGTGGGCAGAGAGCGGCTCCGGCCGTGCCTATCCCGGGGCTGAGGTCGGGTCCGCGTGGCCCACGGTGCGTGGGATGCCCGCAGCCGATGAACCCGCCCGAGGCGTGGGGCTCCCGCACCCAAAGGGAGCTCGACTCGGAGCCGCAGAAGTCGTTCCCTGTCCGTCCGGGGGATCCCCGCTCCCCCGTGCTTCAGTTTCCCCTCCCAGAGGCGCTGGGAGCGGAAACCCAAAACCTCGGGGAGCTGCGTTTTCGGCCCCAACCCCATCCTCACCCCTGGTGCTCCGTCCCAGGGCAGGTATGGGGAAGGCGCCGCTGGAGCGGGTGCCCCGAGTGGAGGGGGATCCCACGGTTAGGGATGTTCCCAGCTCGGATCACCCCCCGCTCGTCCAGGGACGCTGCTGTGCCGCTGCCCCACTGCTGAAGCCCTGCGGCTGCTGTCATTCCCAAGGCTTCGTGCTCCTCTTTGCACACTGCTGTGGGGCTCTGGGCTGCTCTGGGCGCGGATCGGGGGCGTTTTGCCTCCATTCTGACACAGCTGTCCCCCTGCCCAGGGCTGTCCCCGTGCCTTTGGCCACCTCACATCCCTTCCCTGTACCCCATCATAGCGCTGCTCGCTGGGGTTGGGACACTCGTGTCACCAAGTGCGTCACTGCTGGGGTCACATCCCACTGTGGGCTCCGTCCCTCTGACACTGCCTCGCTCCCCCCAGGACCCCCGGAGGGGCAGCGTGGAGCCGGGCAGCCCCAGGGGACTCACATCAGCCAGGACCTGGTGGGACGCAGTCTGGTCATCGACACACTGCTGGACAACGAGACTCGCATTGTGGTGAGCTGGGTGGGGGGGGGTCCAACCCTGCACAAACCAGAGCTATTTCCATTCTGGTGGAGCCTCTGGCTCTGGTTTACTGTGTGGGGCCGGATCCTGGCAGCACAGGGGGTAATTACAGCCTGGGCAGAGGCGGCCGTGCCCAGGGGCACCTGGGGGTCAGCACCGGGGATGCTTTGCCACGTTGCTGTGCTGAGGGCTCTGGGGGTCTCTATGGGGAAGACTCCGTCGTGTTACCGAGTGGCAGCGGTGTCACCTCTGGGTGTAGCACTCGGTTCTCACCTCCTGGATGCACCTGACTGCTGCCCGCAGTGCACTCACTGCTGTCTGTGGGGGGCAGGGGGTGTGGGGCGCATTCCCTGCCATGAGGGTTCCTCAACTCTGTTGAGCTGTGATTCTGGTGTTTTTGTGGCAGCTGAGTGTGGATTCGGGGGGATTAATTCTCACCGTGCAAGGAGTTGCTCTGGGGAAAGGGACCCCAGGGGGAGCTCTGCAGGGTCCCACCGACCCCTGCTGGGGCTGCAGCTCTGTGCTCTGGGACAGAGGGAATGGAAGTGTTTAAAAAAATAGGGGGAAAATAAAAAAGCAAACCACCAAATCCTGACCAGGGAGGGTGAGATTGTTTGCGTGGCTCTGGAGAGGGCATTTCCTGGGGCTGTATGGGTTTGGGGTCACTGCACCTCACCCCAAGCAATGCAGGCTCCGGGTGCAGCAGCTCCGTGAGTTTCCATGCGGTTGAGCATCCAAACTCCCTCCTAATTGCTGCTGTGACCAAAGCAAGGTGGTGGACTTGGGCATCCTGGTGACTCAGTGATGAGCTCAGGAACTCGGCAGCCAAATGCTCTGTGCTGCCCCAGCTCCTCCGCTCCATCCCAGCTCCTTCCAGTAACCCCCCAGGGCTACTGGGAATGCACTGAAATCCGCCGGCTGTGGGGCTCTGTGTGGGGGTTCAACCCCTGGACACCCCACATCCTGGGGTCCCAAAAGCCACACGTCCCATGCACTGGGACACAGTGCTTCCAGCACAGCCACCCCCTTGCCTGTTTTCCATCCCTGAGCTGCCTGGCACCAGGATTGGCTGTTGGAGACTTCTGGAGACTTTGGTGCCTTTATTTGCTCCGCTTCTTGCAGTCACTGCAGCCATAGCTCCCAGCCCCTGGCTCCAAAGCAGTTATTCCTTCCCAGGAAAGCTGCATCTGCTGTGCTGAAGTCCCTCATGAGTCACATCTCCCTCCTGCCAGCGCTGCTTCGGACTCGTGGTTCCTCCACTCCTCTCCAACTGCTCAGCCCCTGCGCTGCTTCGCACGGGGCGTTTCTGTTCCACTTCCATTGCTCTGCACTGAGGTGGTGCCCGTGTGCTTTGCACCCCTGCGGAGATGCATCCCACGGTGCTGATTCTGTCCCTGTCCCCACTGCAGGAGGACAACCACAGCTACTACGTGTCCCGCACCTATGGGCCAGGGGCTGCACGCCGCCAGGGGCTGTGGGTGGACATGGCAGCAGCTGATAGCAGCCACGTGAAGGTCCACGGGATCCTCTCCAACACCCACCGGCAGGCCTCGGTGAGCCCAGGGGGTCCCAGCTGCCATCCATCCTTCCCATGGCGGCATTGGCTGCCCTGTAGCCTTGGGGGAGGCATTTGGTTCTCCCCAGCCCCATCGCTGTGGGGCAGAAGGGGATGAGCCGTGGGGGCGGGGTGCTCCCTCCCAGCCCTCCATCTGCCAGCCTCGGGGGTTGCTCTGAGCTGGGGGTGCCCAGCATCGCCATCAGCTTTCCCACTTTCCGGCTGCTGTCTTCACTCCGTCTCCCTCCTGCAGAGGATCGTCCTCTCCTTCGATTTCCCCTTCTACGGGCATCTCCTGCGGCAGGTGACCATAGCAACTGGAGGTGAGTGGGGCTGGGGAGCCGGGGTTGGGCACGGGCACTGAGCTGAGCCCTCTGCTCTGCTGGCTCAGGTTTCATCTTCATGGGGGACGTCATCCACCGCATGCTGACGGCCACGCAGTACATCGCGCCGCTCATGGCCAACTTCAACCCCAGCTACTCCCGCAACTCCACCGTGCAATACCTGGATAATGGTGAGCCAAGAGAGGGGTGAGGGTGTGGGGAAAGGGCCTGGGGATCAACGCAGGGTGAGGAGAGGTGAGAGGAGTGATCCACTGTGGTGTCCCCCCAGGCACGGTCTTTGTGGTACAGTGGGACAAGGTCTACCTCCAAGGGAAGGAGGACGTGGGCAGCTTCACCTTCCAGGCTGCCCTGCACAGCAGCGGCAGGATCGTCTTCGGGTACAAGGAGGTGAGGGAGAGGGTCTGGGGACCGAGGTGCTGTGGGGCTCAGTGGGGCCGTCTCCATCTCACCCTCACCCTGTGCAGATCCCGGTGCCCGTCCTGCAGATCAGCGCTGCGCAGCACCCCGTCAAGGCCGGGCTGTCTGATGCCTTCATGGTCCTCAACCCATCCCCCGAGGTGCCGGGTGAGTGCCATCCCCTGCCCCGTGTCCCACATCCCTGGGGGGGCAGCTCCTGTGGGTTGAGTGCGTTGTGCTCCTCCCCAGCCTGCAGCCCTGGCCCAGGGGTGCTGCGCTCCGCAGGCCCTGCACTGCTTGCATGTTAACTGCAGCCACCCTGTGAGCATCCAGCTGTGAGACTGGGGCAGAGCAGCACCCATAGGAGAGCAGAGGGATGAGATGAGCAGCTCGGGGTGCTGCCCTCCCCACCCAGAGCACAGCACACGCTGGGCAATGCGCGGCGCATGCCAGCAGGATGCAGCGCATGCATGTGTGTGCACACTTGTTGCACGTGATGTGAGCTCCAGTGCCAGCAGGACGCAGCACACACGTGTCTGCACACGTGTCCCACACGTGACACACGCTCCAGGCACGGGGCGAGCCGGATGGAAGGGCTGCTGCAGCCTCTCCCTTCCCCTCCTGTACACCAACCACGCTCCTCGTGCTGCGCCCCGCGCCACACTTTGCTCGTTATTTCTGGAGCCAACCATCTGGCCCTCGTTTATTACCCATTCACAGCAGTTTGCACGGAAACCTCAGGGGCTGCTGCCCCCCTCCCCATGGGCTCCTAGGGAGCAGCGAGGGATGAGGGAGGGAATGGAGCTGGAAGGGAGGCAGGGATGGGGATGGGCTGAGCGGGGCTGGACCGCGTCCGCCTTGGAGTCCTCTGGGGAGAGGGAGCAGAGAGCTCCCAGCTGCTCATAGAGAAGTGAGGAAGGGGATTTCCGTGCCCTGAACCCCCAGTGTTGCTGCTTGGCTTCCCCTGCTGGGAAGAACCCCAGTGGCAGGGGGTGACCGAGGGGGGCTCACATCTAAAGCAAAGCTCCCGCTGCAGAGTCGCGCCGCCGGACCATCTATGAGTACCACCGTGTGGAGCTGGACACCAGCAAGATCACCAACATGTCTGCTGTGGAGTTCACCCCGCTGCCCAGTAAGCCATGGGGACAGGGTGGCACTGGGGCTGTCCCACGGGGCGCTTCGTGGGCACCGTGTGGCTCCAGCATCCTGCTGAGCAGCCATGCTGTGAGTGCTCACATCTACATGCATGGGGGAGAGCAGGCCATGGATATGGAGAGGGAAATACATCTGTCCTGGGCTCACCACGGAGAGCAGGATGCTTACTGCTGGGCTGGGAGCAGCCTGGTCCCACCACGTGCTGCGGGCACCTCCAGCCTATTGCTGTGCTCTCTCTGCAGCTTGTCTCCAGCACCGGAGCTGTGAGGTGTGTGTGAGCTCCACGCTGACCTTCAACTGCAGCTGGTGCCACGTCCTGCAGAGGTACTGGGATGGGTCACTTCTGCCTTTCCTCTTGCTGGAGATGTTCCTGTAGCCAGGACAGCACTCTGCACCACAGGGCCGATCTCTGCTGTTGCTGAGGGGTTTTTAGTGGTTTTCCTTTTTTTGTGTGATGCTGGCAGTGGCTCACGGTCGGTGGTTTGGTGGTGGCCTGACCTCAGGGCACAAGTTGGAGGAGCCGCTTCCCGAGGGTGGAGCTCAGTCCCAGGGCGGTGGTGCGGAGCTGGGACAGCAGTGGGATGGATGGATGCTGATGTCAGCGGGATTTGGGTGGGATCCACTCCATGCTGGGGCTGGGATTTGGACCAGATTGAGTTGAGGTCCCAGACATCGAGGGACTGCGATGCCCCCGGCCACGGGGACAGCCCCTGACCCAGGGATGCTGCTCTGCCCTCCTTCCGCCACAGCAGGAGAGCCACAGTTGAGGCTGTGCAGCACCGGAATGTAGAGCTGGCAGCAGGGGAGGGGACCCACTAACACAGATCCTCGTGCACCGTGCAGGGGCTGCTTCACCCAGCTCTGCTCAGGCTGCATCCTGGCTGTGCGCCCATCACATGTGCAGCGACTCCATGAGGCCTCAGCAGGGACAGGGGAGGGCTGGGGGCACCTCGTGCTGTTTGCTGGCTCTGCTCTTATCACCCCTGGGACGCTGAAACCTCGCCGCCCGGGGGCTCCCAAAGGCCACAGAGCTGCCTGGGTCCCTGTTTCTGTGGCTGGTGCTTCCCCGACATCATTTATAATTTCTTTAATGTGCTTTTCCTGCCCAGATGTTTCTGGGGAAAGGAAAAAAAAAATCCACAAACAAACCCTTCTGGAGCTCACGGCCTTGGCGCAGAGCGCAGGGAATGGAAACTCACGCTGTCTCTGTATCTTTTTCCTATCTCTCTGCTTCTCTGTTTTCCTTGGAGAAGCAGCGCTGACCATTTTCCACCTCCGTCAAGAGGAACCTTTGGGTCCTTCCAACACAGCTGCACTGGAATCCCCACAGCTTGCATGTAACCCTTCCACCGCGCCGTTCCTCTCACTGCCTCTGCAGCATTGCTGGGCATCTCAGGGGCTGCACCGGAGCAGCAGACGTGCACTGCTGCTCACTCCATTGCTGCTCTGCATCCCAACCTGCTGGGTTTAATGTCCCCTTTCACTGCAGGTGCTCCAGTGGCTTCGACCGGCACCGCGAGGAGTGGCTGTCCTATGGCTGCGCCCAGCAGGTAGGGCTGGGGCTCGGTGCTGGGAGTGGGGCTGGGTGACAGCAGGCACATCCCAATGCCAAACCCCACTCTGAGCTCTGCTCGGCCGCAGGATGCGCACAGTGTCCCTCCAGGTTGCCCTGCTCTGCTACAGGACGTCCATGCATAGCAGACATCCCCCCTTCTTCCATGGGGAGAGCCCAGAGATGCCCCAGCTGTGCCCAGCCCTCGGAGCACACAGGGCTGTTGGCTCCTCTCCTCCCTCCATGTGACTCCGATCCCCTCTAAGAAAGAAGGAGTCGGCCTTTAGGATTTGATGTAATTTTTTTTTATGTCCTTGTCAGCACATCTCCACGTTGTCCAAAGTTGTTTCTTTGTCTTGGAAAGATCCGACCAAACATCTGTTTCTGCTTTGGTGTTTTGTTGTTTTGGCGATTTTATTTTTTTAACAATATATATTTTTTTCCATTTTTCCTCGCTGAACACTCATCCTCGTTCTCTGTTTACCAAGAGAGAGGGAAAAGGAGGTCACGGGACCGACGCTGAGGGCCTGTGATGCAAGCAGGGCAGGCTGTCACCAAACCTCCACCACCTCCCCCAACCCACCACCCCCAAATCTCTCCCACATCACCCCCCACCCCAATTTCTGCCCCTTCTGGGCTGTATCCCTCCTCCCAATCCTTCTCCAGCCCCACGGCGATGCCTCCAGCCCCGCTGTGTCCCCCCAGGCAGCTGCCAAGAGCTGTGAGGACTTAGCAGAGGACGACCGCTACTCGCCGCCCCCCGACGGCTCCTCCTCGCCGCTGGATGAGGACATCACCACCCCCACGGCCTCGCTCTTCATCGACAGCCTCACTACAGAAGGTGGGACGCTGTGGGAGCGACGATGCTCTGAGGGTCGGGGCTGGCAGTGGTGCAGCAGAGCTGTGTGATTGCTTGGGAGCACGGAAAGCTCCAAATAAAGGCCCCCGTTTCCCCCGAGACGCCCCAGTGCTAAAGCTTGATAATCCCATTAACGCAGGGCTCGCTCCTCGGCAGGTATCGCTTCAATTTTGCTGCTTAATAGTCCCTAACGCAAACTGCTAATTAGAATAAATAGAAAGGAACATTAGTAATTGTCCTTCGGCGATGGGAAGGAGCTGGGGGGGAATGGAGCACGGGGCTGACGGAGCCGACTTTGAGAGGAGCGAAGGGAGGAGGGGGGAAGGCGACACCACCACTGAGATTATTTTCCAACTCCACGCCGATTCTTGGAGAAAAGAACAAGAGCCTTTCTGTGACACGGTCAAGCGTGAAGTTAATTTGTAATCTTGGAAGCAAACAAACAGCCAGCTGCACCGGGCAGCAAATTCGACGGGAGCGGAGCAGCGGAGGGACGATGAGGATGGGTCCCCACTCCTCTGCGTCTCCCACTCTGCGTCCTTTGGAGAGTCCCACATCTGCAGTGCTGGCCCAGAGCTGTGGCCCACAGGGGGCTGAGCCCCGTCCTCATGCAGCCTGGTGGCTCTTGAATGAGAGGGAAAATGGGACCGGGCGTCGGACCCCCATGAGGAACATCTGTGGAGCAACAGAGCCCCCCAGGTCGGGTGGGGAGTGCCGGCAGCGCAGCCAAGTCAGCCCAGTTCCCCTCGTTGCTCTGCCTTGCTGAGTTCCAGGGCTGCTCCCCAGGTGTCTGTGCTGCAGGCGGCACCTCTGCGAAGGAGGGGACGCCAAGCAGTGTGTGCTTATGGTGGTGTTTTATTGCTTGGGGGGGGGTCCTTCTCTCCCTGCATTTGGAAATGCTGGGGGTGGGTGCTGGCAGTTCCCGAGTACGGAGAGGAGCACAGAAAGCATCTCAGCAGGCTGTTTACTATTTTTGCCCCTCGTTTCTTCTTTCAGACGACACGAAGCTCAACCAGCACGCAGGCAGTGAAGGTAAGGCCCCGCCGCGTCTCTGCCTGGAGAGCTGTGATCAGTCAGCAGGGTGAAATGGGGACTTGAAAGATGCAATCAAGATAAGAATCTGACTGTCCTTCCTCTGATGAATACTGCTTCAGGTTGTGTAACGTGAGAGCTGGGGCTGATCTGTTTTACCCTGATGCCTTTGTCTGCACTTCCCACTTTTCTTGGTGAAGGAGGACTGTGAGCTTTCTCTTTCTACGCAACTCCCTTTCCTTGCTTTTATACCAGGTCCTTTTCCTTCTGAATTTCCCCAGCTGTGCCAAATGGCGCCGTCAAGTTCAAATGTAAGCTGTCCTTGCCGTGAGCCCAGCTCTGCCTCTTTCATCTCTGTGCCCCTCAATTGCAGCAGCTGAATTTTCAGCCCGGTGCAAAGCAGAGCCCAGCCCTCTTCATTGCAAGCAGCTCCTGGAAGTTAAATTGGCTAAAAAGTGGGTGCAGCATCAGTGCCAGTGCAGGCACGGGGCCTTTGAAACACATGAGCTTCCCAGGCTCAGCCAAATTGCTCCCCGAATGGCCGGTAATGTCACTGCTGATCTATGCCACATACAGGCTCTGGAGCTCTGTGCAATGGAGTATCCATAGCCGAGGGCAGGGGTGAGCTGCAGGGCTGTGGGTAAGGGGCTGAGCAGCCCCCTGCATATGGCTAATGGCTTTCTGTCTGAGCGAGCAGCCAATGTACGAGGAATAGGGATTGGATGGAGGGGTGAAATATTACACGGTCATCATTTAATCCTCTTTCTTTGCCAGCTGTTGGTATCATCTAGGAGGGATGCTGGGGCTCAGCCCCCAGCTCTCCATGCATCTCTTGTTGAGCCAGGCTGGGTGCTCAGCCCCAGTGCAGGTCTCCAAGCATCCTGCCTTGCTTTTCCTGAGCCCTCAGCCCACTTCCGAGCCCAGCTGAACCCTTTTTGCAGGTGTGGGAAGCGACCTTCCTTCCGATGAAGTGGGTGCCCCGATTCACACCGGGACGATCGTGGGCATCGTGCTGGCTGTGCTGCTCATTGCAGCCATCATCCTCGCTGGGATCTACATCAACAGCCACCCCACCTCCAACGCCGCCCTGTTCTTCATAGAGGTGAGTGGGGAACTTTCTCTGGTCCCATCCCAACCCTCCAGAGCAGAGCACAGAGGAGAGGATGTGGGTAGATTGCACACCTGAGGCTCTTAGCATCGTCCTGCAGTCACAGCCAAGTCCCAAGCGCTTTAAACTTAGGCTCATTCCCACCCACGCTGCTTTATTTTGCGCTCTCTCAGGTGCTTCCATTCACACCTTGCCTTTTCTCCCCATTCAATCTCAGCCTCTCCTGCCTGGGATTGCTGCCTTTTCAGTTGCCCAGCTGGATTTTGTCAACTAAAATTGTCAGGCTTTGCTGATAGATGTCATGCCATCAGCTGCTGTGGCAGTGGTGGTGCGAACGCTCGAAATGGCAGATTTTAATTCTCAGGAAGATGGGGGGTCTGACAATCTCCATCTGCTGCTAAAAGCCCGAGGAGTGCAGGGCAGCAGCAGGCTGAGTCCTGGCACAGGAGCCGTGATGCAGAGCCCTCACCTCTCCTTGTCACCCACTGCCTTTTTCCTCAAGCACTCATCTCTCCTCCATCTGTCCCAGCTGCAGAGGATCGATCTGTGGCCTTTATCAGTTCATCACCTGACGATGTTTGGTGCATTTATCCTTGCAGCACCCAACCGGGATGCAGTGCAGCCGTCCCTGCGCTGCAGATGGCAGAGAGGTGCAGGGGTGACCCTCCGTGGCCGCCCCATCCGTTCCCCTTAACAGCACGCCCTTGTTCTGGCACTGATGTGGGATCTCCCTTCCAGTTTCCTTCTGTTCTGCTCCCTCTGTTCCCCCTATCGGGGAGATGCTCAGTGAGACTGATGCATTGTAACAAACTCCTTCGAGCATAAATCATTCTTTCCTTTTCCAAACTCTCACAAAGATAGCATTGTTTCGGGGCTGAGCTTTGAGTTTCCGGCAGGCTTGGCTTGAAATGCTGCTCACAGCTTCTGATGGCTTTTTGTTCCTGTCCACAGCGAAGGCCCCATCGTTGGCCTGCCATGAAATTCCGCAATCACCCCAACCGCGCCACGTACTCCGAGGTGGAGGCAGGCAGCCATGAGAAGGAGGGCTTCGTGGAAGCAGAGCAGTGCTGAGCACTTCTCTCCCTGCACCTCTGACCTGCCACGTCTCAAGTGTTGGAGTCTCCTGTTACCCTATTGCAAAATCTTTCCCCTGGTGGAAAAGAAACAGCAAGTCGAGGAAAAAGACCCAACGGAGCATTGAAGAGAAGGAGTCGGGGCTCTTTCCTCTCCCAACCAAGCACCAGCTTCTCTTCTCTGCTCTGGAAGAAAGGAAAACCTGTTTTGTTTTAAGAGCAAAACCCTTCCAAGGATTCACCTTCAGAACGTTTGTGAGCCGTTGGCTCTGAGGCACTTTCTGCCATCCAGTTAGTTTACTCAGTTACAAGCTGTGACTCTTACCCGAAAGGAACCAGAGGCTGAAGGGAAAAATCACCATCTTGGGTTCCTTCAAAACATCTTCGTGGCCACACATCAGCAGGAGCAGGGGAGGTTTTGCAGGCAGAGGATGGGGACGGAGCTCGGCCATGGTGACACCTGGAGGTCGATCCACGCTCACTCATGGGAGCTTCCCATAATAAGCAGTGAAGGCAAACGTGCCTCGATATCAGTGCAAATCTGAACAACGCTTCGTTAACAGCCTCGGATTTGCAGCCTGCTGAAGTCAGTGGATTTCCTATGGCTTCTTTTTGCTGTGTCAGTGATGGGCCCTTGGTCTGCACCCACGCTGACACCGTGGGTCCAGAATCCGACCCTCTCTGAGGGGCTCAGCTCTGCACCTCCAGGGCAGCTCTGCCCTCTGTGCCACCCGGCTCATGACAAGCTGCAGCAATGCTCAGCCTGCTTCCATCAGTGCAGTCCTGGGTCCCAAACTGGGGAGAGGTGGCACGAAAATGAGAGAGAAGGCCAAAGTCCAACGTCAGGTACAGTTTTCTTCCTCCTACCAAAAAAAAGAGCATTGGTTATATGGCTTTTTTGGTTTTTTTTTCTCCTTATCTTTTGATCCTCTGTTATTTATTCTGATATCATCTTTGAAACATATTTTATCCACTGGCTGGTTCGGCTGTCACCGGTGGCGATGGCTGCCAAAGGCAGGGTCTGTCTAATTAATGTTTTCCTTCTCATCTGCTGAATTTATATAGCCATTAAAGATAAATATGGATGCTCTGTGGCATTTAGACCCTAGATTATACTTCCTCATACGTAGCCACGAGGGAGACTTTTGCTGCATCTTATTATGGCATAAAGGCACCAAATGCTTTCACAGGGAAAGCCAGGCTGGGTCGTGCCGAGTTGTTACGACCCAGGCAGTCTCTCTTCAGATGTATTTTGAAGACAAACCTTATTTCCAAACAAAGCTTTCGATGGGAAGGTGGTTTGTTCCCCTGTTTCCCTGAAGTAGAAAGAATTCAGAGGAACGCTGTCATTTCGTTTTTGCCCCGGATGGTTATGAGCTGGTAAGGAATTTTCCCTGGATTTCCACCTCTTCAAATAATGGCCCTATTGGTAGTGATTTCCTTAGTATGCACACACAAGGTTTGTAGGTATTCCTCTTTAGGTCTTTTATGCACAACAAGGTTTTTAGGTATTCCTCTTCCCCCACAGCCCCTAAGATGCTAGGTAACAGCCAACACATCTGAAATGCTGCACGTTTAAAAGAAAAGAGACTTTAAATGGAGTGCGATGGAGCTGTATAAATCACTGCAGCCAGAACCTTAAAAGGGTTCCAAAGAGGATCAGATACTCAGGTGGAGAAAAACAACATCCGAGTGCCATAGCACGGAAGTGACTGAGATACGTGGAGCGCGCTGCAGGACTGATGTCGAGTTCTGAGTGCCTGCAGTCAGAAAGGCTTCATTTTTTTGTTGTTTCTTTTCTTTTCTTTCTTTTTTTTTTTTTTGTCCCCTCCTTAAAGCAAAGCAGCCAAACCAAAGCAGGCTGTGCTGCGTGCTGTCAGGTGTGTGCTATCAGCTCGACCCGGGGCACAGCAGTGAGGCTCTGCCTGCAGCCATGCCCTGTGCTGGGGTCCTGGCAGGCAGCGCACAGCTCAGCAGCTCAGCAGGCCGTGCTGTGCCACCCATCCAACCTTCCAGGAGCTCTGGGTGCTCGGAGCTCACACCTGGGAAGCCCACGAGCCAGCAGGCACCAACCTGCATTTCCTTTGCACATGGCACAGAAGAGGTCGTCTGTTAAAACCCAGCTGTCACGTTGCTGTTGCCTAGAAGAAAGAGAGCGATGTCTCTACCAGCACTGCTCTCCTGCTGGCCCTGTGTGTCCCATCACCAGCCTGGGACAGGGGCTCATCCTGCCCTCGGATGCTGAAGAACACGATGAGGACAACCAGGACATGAAAAGCAAACCCAGAACCTTTCCATCACGGCTTCTCTCAAGAACTGAAGGCCTACCTTCCACATACTTGAATTTACAGCACAGTCGGACTCTTTAGGGGGACTAAAGGCACTTTAACTGTCTTTCAATGCAATGTATTTACTGTGGATTATCTGCATGGAATATAGTCTTAATATTAAAAAAAAAAAATCTTCCTTTTTGGACTGCTTTGTTTTCAAATTAAGGATTATTAGTTATGCTTATGCAGGCTTGGAAGCACAGCCTGAATTATTCTCATCCTGTGTGCTTTTAAAGGCCTCTGTAAGAACACAAAGACCTTTTCTAAAGGCATTTGGGTTTCAGTAATAACACATCTTATCAGGAGGTGTTCCCAGGACGTATCAAGGATAAAAGGGCTGTAATTGAGGTTTGCACCAAGGCTGTAATTTTCTTCTAATTTTATCTGCTCAACTTGTTGAGGATTTTAGAAGCCTTTTCAGCTCAAACAATGAGATTTGCCTGTTCCATCCGACTTCCTCTAGTCAGGTTTAGTGTTTTGATCCCTGCCCTTGCACCAAAGGATTCCATAAATGCAAATCACCTTCAAAATCCCTGATCTGAGAGCTCTGGTTCCCACCTCCAGCTCTGGGTTCTCTTCACGGCTGCAGGAGAACAAATCAACACCATGGATTAACAGAAGGGTTATGAACCAACCTTCCTGTGCCCCCCATCCCGTTCATCCCCCTCCCCGGGTGCCTTTTCCAGCATTGGGAGAACAGTGCTCACACGATACAGCCATAAGGGAATTGAAATGTGAGCAAAGATCTCCACCAGTGCCACGTTCTGGTTATTTTTATGAGCAGAGAAGTAGCAGATTTATAATTGGAACACAGACAGCGAGCAAAAGCTTTATATAATGCAAATAAGGGGGGAAAAAATGTAAAAATCAGCTCTCCTAAACAGCTTTCACACCAAGCATCACCCCCAAAGCAGGGAAAAAAAACACTGCAGCCATCCCACAAACAAAGGGTTCATGTCTTGGAAACGCAAATGCAAGCTCAGATACTGAGCAGGCTGAGCCATAGTGAATGGCTGTGGAAGCAAACAGGGAGCAGCCTGCTGCAAAAGGGCCCTTGGGTGGGGGAATGGAACCCTGAATGGAGGCACAGCTCTGGAGCTGCACTGTGCGAGAGCCACAGAATGAAGCTCTGGTTACAGCTGGGAACACTGGGGCTCCTGAGGTCCTTGCTTCGTGTTCAACGCCTGTGACTTGGGTTTCCTTGTCTAGAAAGCAGGAATGGGAATGATTTCCTTTCTCACAAATTGTGAATTTGCTAGCAGTAATACTAAAACAAAAGCAAAGTACTTACAGATGCTCAGGAGTGGTTTTCAAGGGGAAAAGCATTACTTGCTTAGGTGGCAGCACAGCATCACTCGTGTGCCCATCTCAGGAGGTGGCTGCTTCCATAACCCCCAAAAATCCATTGGGAATTCACCTTTTTCTACAGCCCCACAAAAGAGAATCAACAGATTGAACAGGGATGAAGACGTGTGCACTGGTAGGGGCTTGGTAATGAAGAACATCACTGCAGAGGCTGACTTCTCACACACCTACCTCACACGCTTCCCCCTCTGCTGCAAAAATCACTCCCACCACTGCTGTTACATTTCTGCTGCACGCTTCACCCAGAAAGATGCCAGGTTCCCGCATCAGCAATGCTTGTAGCACATCTCCCTGCTGCTGGGGGAACTGCACTGGGCTCTGAGCACAGCAGCACTGACTGTGCAGAGACACGAGGCAGCAATGCAGCGCGGCAGCAGAGGTGGCTCAGAAGGGAAGAACAGATCGAGGCGCGTCGGAGGTGATCATCCAGACTGAGGTGTACCTTGAGATGGAACCTTGCTCGTGGAACCTTGAGATTCACCACCTCCTGCTGGCTCAGCAGAACACTTCTCTCTTCTCTTTAACAGGAAATGGGTTCTGTTTCTCATTTCCAGAGGGAGGACAAGAACCTCCCAGCGCTGCGCTGCCAGAATGGAGCATTTCCACCCAATGCCACCCAAATACCCATGGAAGATCAATTTCCTGCATCATCAATGCACCCCCCCTATGGAAACAAGGATGTTCTTGGTGCTTCTTCAAAGGAATAATGGAACTCACCAACATGCTCTGTCCAAAAAAGCTGCTAAGATGATAAAGCAGGGCTGCACTGGCTGCAGTAACTTCCTCTCAGCCATGAAGCTTCCCATGGCTCCAACGGATAATTATCTCCGTGTTGTGCTGACAGGTTCCCATCTGTTTAGGGCTGAATGCTGCATCTTAAAAAGAAACAGAAAGGAAGAGCCCCAGTCGCACGCTGACAGGTTTGCTCAGCTCTTCAGAAAACCCAAGGAACACAATTGGGGATGCTAATTAATTCCTGGTAATCCACTTCTCTTCTTGTGTGTGTCCGTATCCATTTCTCTGCAAACGGGGAAGATGCAGAAAAGCCAAAGATGGGAATAACATAAAGATCATTTCTAGGGAAGGAGCAGACAGGAAGGCTTAGAGATCAGCTCAGGGAATGCTGAGGTGTGAGGCGAATCCCAAATATCCAACCAAGGATGAGCAACGTGCACAAGGGACAAACCTGAGCCCTTCTGCATCCACCTCGTGCTCCCTCAGCCCGTTTCCTCTATCTGAACACTCGGCTCAGGGCTGCCATGCTGTTTCCAAGTGACCCCGAGGAAGCCCTCAGCCCTCCTGCTCCACTTGGGTGAGGGCAGCCCTCCTCCACAGGGCTCCTCGAGCAGCTTTAAGGCACACAGAGCAGTTGGAGACCCTTGGCAGAAAGGCAGTGTAGGGGGACAGAGCATTATTAACTCCTCTCAGCTGCAACCACTGCCCCAAAGCGAGGTAGAAGAGAAGGAGAAAATGGCAAGTCCTAGCATTCAACCCATTCCTGCCCTCCTTCCTCACAAGCTCCAGACTACGGCACTTAAAACCCAGCGACGAACAAGGACAGATGGAAACTCCAGGCAGTGTGAAGGCTCTGTTATGCTTTCCTGTAGCCCTAAGCGTCAGCAGGATGCCACTCTGTTCTGATACTGCAGCGAGGACGCGGACGATGCAGCACCACCAGCCAGGATCAGAGCACCAGGCCAGGTGTCATCTCGACCACTCAGTGCATGGAATGCATTAAGTAAATACTCGTAATTTGTTCTCTGTTTGCCTATTTGGTCGTGTTTTCGATTCTCTTTGTTTCTTTAAATTCCTGCACAAATCCCATCCATATTGCCGTGTTCTGTAAGCAAGATAACATGAAAACAGGACACTGCATTATCAGAATTCATCTTCTCAGCAGATCCAACAGCTCCAGAGGTCTGGGCCAGGACCCTGGGATATGCACACAGCACTGCCTCTCAGACCTATGCCATTTGTCAGCCTTCAAAGAGAACTGCAGACCCAAGAGGAGACGATAATGTGAATTAATTGAAGGGATTGTACAAAACAGGGCCTCCATCCCCTCCTCACCCTTGCACACCGCACAGAAGAGCTGGATGAACCAACCGCCCCCTGCTAATTGCACGCTTCTATCATCCCACCCTGAAGCACCAACACTTTTCTGCTCAGGGATCCCCAGCCAACCAGATGATTTGCACCTGGTTACGTCTTTAAATACTGATATTATCACAGGGTTCTGCAGCGTTTGCCTTGACTGTGTAATGATGGAGAACTGCGCTGCTCTCCTGGGGCCAAAAATTCAGATCATAGATGAAGGAATTTAACAGCACGCTTGAACACTGCATTCCCATCCACCTCGCAGCTTCCCGTGACTGCAGCAGCACCATTACCCTCCTTTCTAAAGCTCAATTGTACTTTTTCCTTATTAGCTTTCATCCCGTCAGCCCAAAGCAGCTTACAAACATCAGCTGGGATTGCAGAACCTCAAATAACAAGGCAAACCAACAACGCCGTGACTCACTCAACCAGCGTAAAACAAACACAAGATAACGCCGTCACCACACAACGCGACTTCATTTCCAAACCTGGTGCCACCGTTGCTATCATTAATTATGCCAGTCATTAAGTAGCTGGACATAGGAAGCCCTTAAGCCATTGCCAGGCTCCAGAAAGACACCGCAGGAGGAGGGCACTCCATATCCACCCCGAGCAGCATTGGTGCAAATGGACGCACGGGACAAGCTGATGGCCTGGCACCCCTCAAAAGCAGCTCTGTTACTGTTTGAACCTTTCAGTTCTCTTTATCTCACAGTCAGGAGCCGCTCAGCTCCACCATTTTAGAACTGCTCGGAGGTGAGGCTCACGGGCACTGCGCTGAGGGGCTGGTGGGTGATCTCAGAGCTCTTTTCTAACCCTTATGATTCAAATAAAGTTCTAGAGGAAAAGAAACATCAACAAACCAACACCCTCCCCCCCCCTCCCCCCTCAAAAAACCCCACACATCACCGTGTCAGCAGAAAAACACGTTGGGAGAAGAGCACAAAAGCAGCTGCAGCCCTCTGCTGCCATCGTATGGGAAGGAGCAGCACCAAGGCCTCTCCCCAGGGCTCCAGCTGCCCTTCCCCAGAGAGACGCGGGTTTCCAGACAGCCCTGAGAAGAAATAATATTAAGAATCAGTTTGTTGGCGAGCACGGCTTGCTGCTTCAACAAAACAGCGTCTCATGTGGTTTCCCGTCCGCGCAGCAGCACCGTGCCCCGTGCCATGCAACAGGGCAGTTTGTAACCCCTGCAGCAAGGAAGGTTGTTAGCAGGGGCAGACGGTGCCACGTGGCTGCTATAGGCAAACCCAGCAGCCTCCCGCGAGGGACGCACGTGGAACACACCGTGCGTTTGGGGGATGCAACCGGGTGAACTCGGGGCCTCGCAGCAGCCACCCACTGCAATTTGGGGCCGAGACGAGGACAGCACGCATCTACAGCCACCAGAAAGCCGTGGCAGGGCTCCTCAGCCCGCTGCAGGAGCCGGGAACCGCACGGACCGAGCCGCCTTATGGCGCTGAGCTCTGAAATGGAGGCTCAACGGCAGTCTTGCGTTAATTATTCATAAGGGGGCGCGGCCACGAGAGAGACGTTGCTGTACAATATGTTAATTAATGATGATGGAGGCGTGGCCACGCGAGAGGACGTTGTGTTGCACCTATTGATTATTCATGAGGGGGCGTGACCACGCGAGGACGTTGCTGGAAGGGGCGTGGCCTCGAATCAAACAGAAGGCGGGGCCCAAAGGGCGGGAAGGACTCCGGAGGGGTCTGGGCTGCTGAGGGGAAAAGGCGGGAAAGTAATCCCCGCCTGTAATTAGGAGGGGAAGATTATGGCCAACGCTTCCGAAGAGCTGGAATAAAACGCTTCAGCGCCCTCTGAAACGCCTGGTGTTACAAGGCTGGCCTTACAGAGAACCGGCGCCCTGAAAAGGGAAGTGTTTGAGCTGGGCCTCCACATACACCGAATACACGTTTGGGTTTAACGAATAAAAAGACGCTGAAGCGCACAAACACAGCCTGCCCCACACTGAGCCCGGCAGGCGCTGAGGGGCTCAAAGAGGGCAGCGAGGCCCCGCAGAATCGCCACAGAACGCATTTAGATGCGCGAATGAAGCGGGTTCGTTTCCCCTCCAGGTGTGTGGGGCGGCTCGGCGCTGTGGGAGCCCTGTGTGCTGCCCTGCGGCCTGGCGCTGCGCCTCGGCCTCAGGGCCCTGAGGAGCACCAATGAAAGGCCCAGCACCACGAATAGACAGAAATTCATCACAACAACGACAATACTAATGATAACAATGAGAGAAGCGGGTGTTTTCTTGCTCCTGCAGAGATTCCTGTGCTGTCGCTCCACTGCCGCCCTCAGACCGTCCCCATCACAGCTGTTCACTAATTGGGGTTTTTACTGCACTGCTTTGCGCCACCAAAGAGCAGCAATAAAAACACCCTTCCCGTCAGTCTGGGCCGCTGGGTAACAGCACTGACATCCAGGGCAGTTTTTTTGCCGTCCCTCACTTGAATTCATGCACTTCCCTGAGGAGGAAAAGCAGTAAATTCCTGCTAATATTTGAGGCGATTGGTTTTATGTCACTGGCTGTGAGTGAGGGGAATGGAGAGGATCCAAACCAATCCCCAAAGCAAACAAGCTTTTGTAACAAGTGTTTGCCAAAGGCTAACAGGGGGCTGGGGAAAATATCCGTGGGGCTGAAGGGCGTCCATTAGCAGGAATTTAGCGACTGCTTGAGGACGGGGAAGGTTGTATAGGAGATAGGAAGTTGATGCTTTCGGCCTTGTAAACAAATTAGGTTATAGCAACAAATAAGATGAACCTTCCTGGACAGTGCTATGGGTTGAGCTTGTTAAATATTTACCGTTTACCTTTCGATTTCCAGTCTCCATTAAGCAGTTCTCTAAACAAGCGGAGTCCCAGCAGCAGATGGAGGTACACAGAGCATTGCACCGCTCTGGCTGAATTCCCTAAGAAATAAAAAACAAGCCAGAGAGGAAGCAAGGAGGAGCTTTTCTGTTTATCTGGGGGTGATTTCTTGAAGGTTCTTACAGGCTTCTTGGAAATTGCATCCATTTTCTATCTTTCGCTTAAGCAAAGCCTAGTGAAACATTCATTCTGGTGCAGATACATTTGCTTCTGGTGCTTGCGGAGCTACAAAATATAAGCTGTCTGTGCTAAGATTGTAACATAGCTACACTAAAAATGTTTCCAGCAAAGCAGGACTCCCTCTCATGGTCGATGCCGACCCCGTTGCCCTCAGCAGAGCCCAGCTGTAACACTTCCACTGGAATGCCCCGCGTCCTTTCTGTTGTCAGTACAGACAGAGCTTCCATTGTGGACGTGGTGTATCACAGAGGCCCGGCCTGCGTGCTTCAGCAATAAATACGAGGGATGTTTGGAACTTGTTTTCTGTAATTTTGGTAAATTTTTGATCTTTCAAACAACGGAGTCTATTCTCTGAGCACATTTCCCACTGATAGTAACTGGGATGTTGCAGTGCAGCTTGGACAGACTCCAGTTGTGTTGCTACCAGCGCTGCCAGCTCCTCTAGTCACACAGCAGCGCTCATTCATTTGTCAGTTTCCCTGAATCCTCATCTGTCAGAAACACCAAGAAATGGTGTTAAAAACCCCCCCACACACAAAAGTTAAACGTTAAGATGCAGTGAATCACTGAACCTTGCTGCTGGGCAGTGTGAGGTGCGCCTACCCCAGAGACTCAGAGCAGAAGGCAGATCAAAAGCTCAGTTCTTTCTCAAAGCTCGCTGCTTTTTAGACCTTCGTTTGGGGAAAACCTGTGTCACCGAATCAGGCAATACTGTGCGGTTTCTTTGTACAGCACACGTAGTCATTGCATTGAATTAAGCCACCTGTCAGTTTAAATGCTACTGGAGATAGATGGTTTGCAGCTTTGTACCTGTAGTATTCTGGTTTGGTCGGATGTCAGCACGCATGTGTGGAATTATCACTCTAAAGCAATCAAGAATACTTCTGGTAACATCAATAACATCACTACCTCTGTTTTATTACTATTTATCCTGTTGAATGATCTGTGTGATCAGGTAAGGGAATGTTGTTGATGACTGCAACCTGTCTATTTTCCAACATTTATGCGGTGCACCCAACCAGGATTTTCACGCTCTGCTGCTGTGCCAACAGCCATTTCCTCTTCTTACCTTTGGAGAGAATTTCCCCATCTGAAAATACAACTCTCCTGTTTTCTCCCCAGGATAAATGTGTGAGAGCAGCAGAACGATGGCCTCCATTGCAAGGACCAGCTGCACCTCCGCCCCAAACCAGAAGCACAGAGGCAGTAACCAACGCTGCAGGCGGAGCTGCAGCACTGTGGATGCAGATCCCCAATCTCTGTCTACACTGGGATACTTTAAGACACTGCCATTAGAGATCTTCCAAATGCTGCTGAGCTATCTCTCAGGTGAGGCTCTGACAAAAGAGGTTTTTGTTTGCAATATCTGAGCATCACCACTTCAAAAGCCAGTACTGTTTAAAATGTTTTCCCTTTCGGTGAGTTGAGGACATTTCATGTCACTCCTTGTCTGAATTTTCTGCTTTTAGGTCTGCGAGGAACCACGTTTCTAAAAGTCAAACATAATTGCAGACCGTTGGAAACACTTTTTGCCTATTGTGTGACAAGTATTCCTTAGATCAATACACTGCTAATTAATCCCAGTCTGTTGGGAAATGAGTTAAGCGGAAATTAATTAATTAATTACAAACTTTGTTTCTTGACCTGCTTTTGGAGTTATTGGCTGCTGATCAGCGCTTTTCTTGCAGCAAAGACTTACGCCTGGTTTTGCTCTTTCAGTGAAGGACATCAGTGTGCTGAGCATGGTGTCAAAAGCCATCAGCAACCGCCTCGTTAATTACATCTCAACCCCATCAGGAAACCGAAGGCTGTTACTGCAAGACTTCCATGACATCAAGCTGCCTGGCAAGAGGGATGGATCCTGCATAATAGAGCACTACAAATCTCTAGGTGATCCTTCGGAGCCAGTGGTAACGATTAGAGGGGACCCAAACTTGGTTGAAAGGGTTCTGCTCTGCCCGTTGCTCAGCAGGGCACCGAGGGCGCAGCCCCAAACGTTTCACAGCTCCCTGTGGAAGAGAAGTTCCTCACTGTGCCAAACGGCCCACATTGATACCATGAACTGGGGGGGGGTTGCTTGAAATGATGCCAGAACCTCCTGGTGCTGCATAAATGCTGTGCATTCGGCCTCCTCCACCGCGTTTATCTTTATTTTTTTTCATATGAAATGGAAAGCAGAGGGGCTGGCTCTGTTCTCAATGGCAGGTTTTTCCAAATTTAGTTTATTTGGACACCGCAACTGGAAACTGCAGCAGAAAGCTGCAGGGCTCCCAGGCTCACAGGAGGAATGTGGCTGTTCAGACCGCCTGCCTGTGTCAGTTTGGAGTAGATTGCATTCCTCAGCCTGGGAAAATGCTGCTGCTGTGCTTAAATGCAGCCTGGTTCCAAAGCCACTGCCACCAGAGGGGCTGACAGCCTGCAGGAGATGCAGTGCAGAGCACATCCCACCTCCTGGAAGAGAAGTGTCCTCCCCACGAAAGCGTGGCCACAGCTGTCACTGCTGAGCATTTCTCTTTGGCAGCCTTGTCACAGAGTTCAAAGGCCGAAATGGGCACCAAGAGCTCCTCCTGAGCCCCAGTTAAGGGCAGTGCCTGCACTGTGGCTGTCCTGGCACACAGTGTGTGAACCAAAGCTGGGTGGAAAGGCCCATTAATTCTTTATTCAGCCCTCTTTTAGCACAGCCTTGTAGAAACTAAGATCCAAACGGAGTTGCTGGTGGTGGGGAGCACTGTGCATCCTTGTGTTAGAATTTGCTTTCTCACTTTTTCTGCTGGTTGTTTAAAGCGTTTATTCCAACTCACTCAGCCCACCACTGAGAGATGGAACATTTTCCATGTATGTAAAGCAGCCAAAAACTTCTTCACCCATCCACCATAAGCATTAATCCATCAGACAGATTAGATTGGAACTTCATTTGACCCGTATTAACGGAGCTGATTGAAAAAAGTTGTTGCTCATTTGACAGAGAAATCAAATGACATGATGGCTAGATGCAGCATTACAGCTCTACGTTTGGAGGCACACACAGGGCAAAAGAATGCAGCTTAGATCAAAGACATCTCATTGTAGGCAAGCCACGTAGACTGTAAGGTATCTTAAAATAATTTCAGTGCTTGACTCGTTTCTAAAATGAGGCTGATACCCTGAAGTTGTTGTTCTGTTGTTGTTGTTAACTAAAATTGGCTCAGGCATCGTAGCAACCACACATGAAGTGACAACTTGCTTGAATAGGGCTGTGAGCCCCACGTCAGCAACAAAAAAATACGTCTCCTGTATCCACAGATGATCAGCAGGAGGCTCAAGAGAACGTTTTGGTTAAGGGGTCAGGTACAAAATCAGTGCTTGCTTTACAGCAATTTGGCTCAGAGGGAAAAACCATCCCTGTCCAGAGGGCTGCAGGCTGCCTG